TAGTCCCAGTGGCTGGAAGTGATAGTTAGTTAAAATTATGTGAGTGAATGAATAGTGAATTAAAGTTGATGTGATGTGTAATAATGATCGGTTGATATTATATATTATATTTATAATATTTGAGATAGTTGAGTTGAGTTAAATTTGAATTTTGAGTGAGATATTTACTGTAGAAAATATAAACAATCACGCCCTATATATTTTGATATTAGAAGGCAAATGCAAATGGGCATCTATGCATGTTGACATATTTAATTAAGCACATGATCATATGCACCCTTCGATCTGCAACATCCTTAACTATCGCGTTTTTAGTGTAAGAAAGGTGGGAAAAACCCAAATAAAGTAATTGAGGTTACATTCCAAAAATCGATTGGTGGAAGAAAGAGTAACCCACTAAATTTACAACTTAGACATATTTTCTCTATATAAACGATGTAAGACAACTCACAAGTGATATTATAACACGCCCTCTCACTTGTGAGTAGCCCAAGCCCAACTGGACTGGATAACGGGTACGTCATCGCACGGTCTCAAATAGATCTAAATAAAACCGACTCACGGTCCCTGATAGTGCTAGCTCTGATAACATATAAGAAACGTGGGACCAATGTTACATCAATTCCTTTCGGAAACCTTTCACTACCTAAGCCCTATAAAAACAATTCAAGAAAATTCTATGTTATGTGACAAAAGTTGACTATATAACTATTCTAAGTCATCAAAGATGGATTTCATGATACATATTGGTGAACAAAGGCAGAAATTAAAGACTAAAAAGCAAAGAAAAAAGATATATCTATATATCTATAACCAAAATAAACCATGTGATTTGAAGTTAAATTCAGATGAAAGAAAATCCAAAAATAAATGGCAGCACACCACTTTTAGCCTGCTACATAGTAAATATTGGTAAAAAAAAAAATAAATAAATCTGTTATATTATGAATGTGCAGCTATCATATTATGCTCTCAGATACTTGAATTCACAGCTTGTAATTTGGCATCACATTTAATGCACGTGGAAAACACGTTCGTTGGTTTTCTTTTCCCGTTTTGATTCACTTCATTGCTGTCCAACGTCGTCTAGGGTGGACTCCAGCAACATGTCCATAAGAAAAATAAAGAAAAAAAGAAAATCGAAGTTTAATTTTTAAAATTTTTATACATAGTCTCATGTAAAATTTTGTTTAGTCCATCTAATTTTGGGCTGAATACCTCAAAATTCAGGTCGAATTTATTTATCTAACAACAATGATGCATAAGTGATGATCGTAGTAATAGGAAATGAGACAATTCTTTATTGTCAAATGACAATTATGCTCTTACTAATTTTTTATCAATTGAGTTTATAATGTGACTCAACACTCTCTTACATTTTTAATTTTAATGGGTTGATTTGACAAATACCAAATGAGTTGGATAATTAAACTCGACGCATACTACTCATGCGGGCTATTTAATTGAGTTTGTCTCATTGTACATTTTGTGAAACATTTTCGTTCGGTTTTTGTTGCATTCGCCTACAATAATTAATTCGGCCTCATTTCCAAGACCAAAAATAAAAAAAACAAAAAAAAAAACTCTTACATAGTTGATTTCAAACGTGTTCGACTCTAATGGTTTGATTGACAAGTTCGATTAGCTATTTAGGTTTGACTTATTTAAATGTATAAACGAGAAGAGATTAAGTTTTAACAATTCGAACCAAAATATGTTAACAAATAATTCGGTTCTAGTCATGCAAAAGTCGATTCCGGATTGTAATCGCTGGTCCTGGGCCGAGGGCCCTGAATCGGCCCAAAAATATGCCCTGGCCGGTTCATTGAGTTGTTGGTTCTTGGCAGTCGGATTCATTAAAAAAAAAAAATGATTAAAAAATATATATATTTTTTTTTAAAAAGGTCGAACCTTCAGTTCCGGTTCCGGTTCCAGTTCGAGATCGAAATCGTCGATTCAAAGTGTATAAACTAGAAAGTATTGAACCTTAATTGGACTGGTCAAAACCACTGGCAGGTTGAAAACCCATGGTCAACGGGCCGGTTTGTGCTGTTT